CTTCTGTATGTCCCCCGTGTCAACTAATTCCATTTTATTTACAAGCAAAACCATGGTAAACATCCTCGTGTTCATTCATCATCATTTCCTTATGGACGAAGCAGAGTTGCTGAGTCATTGGTACCAGAAGCAGAATTGCTGAGTCATTGTTTCCTACACACCCCAAAGTCCTAGCAGGTGGGAGCATTGGGAAGGACAGGAAACATCATAGAGAAATCAGTTGCTTCCTTTTTCACACAACGCCCCCCTCCACCAGGGACACTGGCTCCTGTCTTGGCCTTAATGCCTCAGCTGTGCCTTATTTCTCACATCTGGGGTCAGGAGCATTTAGAGGACCAAAACTGGAACCTAGAACTCATACGAGGTTTAAGGAAAGCCACCAGCAGCTGCTCTGACTTCTCCATCTGGGATCAGGCTGTGTTCTTTTCCAGATAAGCCAACATGGGCTATAGGACTAGATGACTCTATTACCTCGATCCAAGACAGGTTTACAGCAGTGGCCCTGGCTGTCTTGTGTCTACACTGATCAGGAATATGGGAATTGTACTGGGGAGAATCAGAGGATGTGGACTTCCAGTCTTGCGCTATACCACCATGACCTTGAGGGAGTTATCTAACATTTTGTTAAATGAAGACCAGGTTATCAGAAAGAGTTCTTTGACTCCATCTTCCCAGATTCCAAGGTTTTGGATTTCCCAAAGCCTGTTTCACTTGTTCAAACGATACCACTTTGGGTTTTCAATATCTCAGTGGCCCATTCATAGATCCTTCTTGGTCTTCCGAGTCCCTGCTAGCTACCACCTCTGTACCACAACACAACAGGACATGTGCCATGTCCATGCTACTATGTATGACCATGACCTCCCTTAGCCCCTCCCAGGCACACTTGCATGCCTTTTCCATTAAAGGATTTTGGCATGCCTATCTACAGGAAACTTCATCAAAAAATATCTAGTAATATATTTTACTTTCATGAAGCCATGGCTCCTGAATATTGAAGACTATTGTGCTTTGAAAATGGAAAAGATTAGTGAATCTAATGGGGCACAGTGGCAGAGAACTCTGTGCATCCCCTTTATTCGTGCTTAGCTGGTGGTTAAATGGTTGTGTTGGGAAGGGAATATACCACTATCAAAGCACGTAATTAAAATGTCCTCTCCCCAAACGTTAAGAAGATCACCATTACAACTTAGAATTGCCTCTGCAGATAAATGTTACCCTCCAGAATGATGTGAGGTATTGTTTGAGTATTTTGTAGGTCCCCTGTGTGAATGAGCTAGCCTAAAATAGTAATAAAAAGATAATAACAGTGTATTAATAATTTTTGGAGCATAAATGAAAAATTTTCATGGATACTTTCTATTGGTATAAAAATGTAGATTGTCCTTCACAGGCTTATTTCGTTTCTTCTGAGTGGGATACTTAAACAGTAAATTAAATTTCATATCCATCATTTCATTAAGAAATATGTGCTTTTTTTCTTTTGACAAGAAAGTCAAGATTTAGATCTTGACTTTAGATCATAATTTAGATCTTAGATTTAGATTTAGATTTAGATCTTTGCTTTGTATCTTAATTGATAGCTGAGGCACATAATTCCAGTAAAACTTCATTACCAACTTAAAAGAGAATCTCCAGATTGGTTTTTATACTCTATTTGAATTTCATTTTGAAAAAATTTAAAATATGGCAGGGTGGGATAGCTCCATGGTTAGCATGCCAGAACTGAATAGCAGGGGTGAAGGGTTTGACCCTCACCCAGCCCTGCTTAATGAAAATGTAAATTAGACTTATTCCTTAATAATAATTCAAAAGAAGCATTTAGATTCTTCTAGGATAATTATAACTGAGCATTTTATAGGAAGAGTGGTTTTCAGGAGCGTGTGTGGTGAAGAGTAAGTGATAACTGTGTTCCATGAACTGTTTGGTTCCTTATGATGAATTATTTGTCAACATATTATTTCATCCTAACTTTTTATTTCCAGAATCAGTTGCTTTCCTTGTTTCCTCCCCTTTCTCTTCTCTTTCCCAGGCACTCTTATCCCTTTTTGTTACTAATTATCTATGACCTTCCAAGAAAAGTTTTGACCTTACGATACAGTTACCCAGAATACTTACATTGTTCCTGGCTGAGTTCCTTTCACTACCCTATTTCACTGATTTCATAAGATTAAAACAATCATAAATTCAGAGAAAAATGACAAATGCGACCGCCAACCCGTGGTCTAACCAGTGTTGATGTAACTTACGTTTACGTGCCTTCATGAATTTGGTGTATAATTCTTCATTTTCACCTTCGGTGCTTATTTGCTTTAGAAATCCGTCCAAGTCAATCTGATTTGAATGCAGTATATAAAATCCACACAATCATTTCAGAATGTTATCTCTTATCTCATATAGTCCTTGGTCATTCAGCAGACCTTTACTGCAGGCCTACTGTGTGCTAAATACCGTGTTCAGGACTAAAGATACAAAGACAGACACATCAGGGTCCCTGCCGTGGGGCAGGGAGGTGAATCAGATCTTGATCCCACCTCGCAAAGACCCTCTGACTCCATTACTCCGTTGTCTACCCAGGAGTGAGTTACCCACCCAGCCCTACCTCCTTCACTTACAAATGAGACCATTTCCCTTCCTTCTCTTTAATGGCCTTTTTAGCTATAAAAATTGTCAGTCTGTAATTATTGCGTAGTTTTCTTGGAATCACATTAGCACTGCTTGGTCCCACCAGCTGGGACCAGTGTGGTGGTAGCAGGTAAACAAGTGACGGTCAACTAGGCAAAACTTCACAACTCCTGTCTCCAATTAAAATGTTGGAAGCTCTAGTGATATCTGCCCTTTGTTTCCCCAGAGTTGCACTCATGTGTTGTTCATAAATCTTAAGGCTGGGTTTTTGGCTCCCTGTTAAGTAACATATTTCATTGAACTTTGCCAAAGCCCAACTTGGAGCAGCCTAGGAATGGTTAGGCAGCTTCCTTTGTTTCCAATACAGCAAGAGTCTCTCTGCAGGTTTTTATCGTTGTGTGTTTGTTTGGGGGGGGAAGGAGGTGTTGCTCTGGGCGCCTCCAACGGGTGGTGAGGTTATCTGCTTCCAAGACACGTGCTGTAACGCAGCCATGGCTTTGCAGTGGCATCAGCGTCTCCTCACTGGACTCCAGTCTGTGGCAGCATCCCTGGGCCTAATTTCTGCTCGTAATCTGATTATGAGGTTTCAGCTGTTCCAGCCTGCAGCTTCTCGCTTTGTGTTCACCATACGCTCAAGGACACAAGTGCCTGGTCGCTCCAGCCCTGCGCTGTGAAAAATCTCAACCTAATTTTGCTTAGAGCAGCTGAAGGTCCTTGCTGGTTGAGAATTTAGCTGTAGAGCAGGCTCTGTTTCTGAACCTCCGGTGTGCAACCATGTTCAGAAGCCCAAGTTTATCCAGCTACATGGGAGCTTTCAAATTCTCTGAGAAACAAGGTAAGGCAAGCAAAAAATACGGAATGCACTTATGTGTGGGTTTTATACCAGAATGAATGCCCTGTATGCCTCCTGTGTCTAATTAGTCGTATACTTTTCTCAAAGGACACATCGAGTATCTAGTTGAATTTCTAAATGGGTTTATCTTGTGATTGCTGATAATGTGAATTTTTCTTTCTGTTAGTTACTGCTAAATCACTAAAACCCCATGTAGGAAAAACTGCACACTAAACCGGAATGTCCAAACTTTGGATCAAATTCTGGTTGTGCTGCTTTTTAGCTAACATATTTTTCTACACCAAAGGCGATCTATGCTTATTTCCAGGAGGGAATGGTTGAGTGAGTTTCTTTTTTTTAACTCTCCATGTGAGACAGTTGGGAACAGGATGCTGTCTTTTTTAGTGGAATTCTTCCAGCACAGAGGAATATATGTGCTTTCAATTTATCTAGTGAAGTGGTGTTGTATGTTCAGTCCGCTGAGGACATTCACAAACATGACATGCTGATGTTCTTTTGAATCTCATGTTTTGAAACCCAGCTAGTTAGTCCATAGCAAAAGTGTTTTCGACCACAAACGCACTATGAGGAAGTGAACTGAACAATTCGGAAAGCAGATTCAGGAATTTTCTTTTACAATATTTGATAGCTCCTTGCACCGAGTGTTCTTTTCTTTAAATACAAAGCAAGATACTTGTATAAATAGGAGAAAAGCCTGGATGTTGAATTGGTATCAGTCTTTGATTTTCTTGTCTGTCTCTGGTTGGCCAGGATTTCAAATTCCAGGATTGAGGATGTATGTTGAGGGATAATGAAGTGTCAGAATCTGGTGTTATTTGGGGGTCTCTTTTTCGCCAGGCTTCTGCTCCTAAATCTTAAACAGTAAAAGGCACTTCCTTAGGGGAAGAAGTTTCTGGAAGTGGTCGACTGGTGGTTTTCTTAGTGGACAAATGGTGACTATGCCAAAAGCTTATAAAACAGATTATTTGCCATTAGACCGATGATAAATTTCGTCTGTGCCTGGCATTGATTAACCCATTCACTCAGGATATGTGTTTTTCCTGTATGAGATTGTTACCAGCTGTCTTTACGTGATACATATCTTGTCTTTAAAAATAAATAAAAGGTTCTTTGGATGTGTCATTATTATTTAGATTTTAATGAAAGCAGTAAAGGACCCCACTGAAATGTCCTTTGCTTTTAAGACCCCCCTCCTTGCCTTTTTGAAGTCATCGCAAACCTAGCAGGCAAATTACTTTCAACACTTCCGGTTACCTTGACCGAAATCACTGAATTACTTTCTCCTTGTTTTCCTGAGTATTATTAGTATTATCATTGTGTTATTCATTATTTAATTCCTTGAGTTATTCTTATTGCCATAACAAGTTTAAATGATAGCATTGAACTGTGTCAGAATTTCTTCTTCTTTTTAACCCCTTGACCCTTGCCCAAATAAAGGGAGCTTGCACAATCTTTTCCTCCTTAGATACTTTTTACCGTACCATGTAACTATTTCAATGTTATTTTATCTCTTTTCTCTTAGATTTCAACAAGAAAAACTTAAGCTTCATTGGATTCCCACGGCAAAGAAAAGTTCCAAGGTAAAGTCGCCTTTGCAAAAGAAATCTTAACATTTTGTAAGATTTTGGAGTAGCTTTTTGGAAGTTTTTTTTTTTTTTTTTAATTCCTAATTCGTGAGAGTTGAAATCTCCAGCAATATGTGTTCTCCCCAGAGTTTGATTTATTAAAATATATAAAGCAAAATATTCTTTTTGTACTTAACGTCATTGATGAGAGTTTTTAGGAGACGAGAATGTTGGTACAGCTTGTGATTGCAGACTTGTGAAGGGCCATTTTCTTTCTCATAGCTGCCTCTGAACATGGCCTGACCTTTGGCAACCTGTCCATCAAGAACGGGAACTAGATTTTTTAGAAAGGGTCTAGCCTTTCCCCTCCTCGGTCCCTCCCTTTCTTCATCCACCCTTGCACCCATCTGTCCAGCTGTGCATGTGACTTTCCATTGCCTGGTCTGACCATCTCTCTCTTAACCTTTCCCTCCTTCCAATACCCTTGCCTGCAGGATCTTATGGGTGCTAATTTGATTTACCTAGTGTCCTCAAACTCCATGGCACATCATCACTGTTCTAAGACAATGTGAAAATGAACGTCTGTGCCCGGGCACCGCAGCTGTGTCTCAGCTGCCTCTTAGTAGATCGCTGTCGCTGATAGCGTTTGATGTTTTCAAGTAGAGGCACAAAGTTAACATGCGCTTCCCACTCCAGCATGGATCTCAACTTACACTTCATCATGCTGGAAGGACCCAACTCCTCAATGCACTCACATGCTCTTGTGCCTAACAGTAACTTAAAAGGGTTTACACTTTTTTTTTTTTTTTGAGACAAAGTGCCACTCTATCACCCTGGGTAGAGTGCCCTGAGTAGAGTGCCATGGCATCATAGCTCACAGCAACCTCAAACTCTTGGGTTTGAGCAACTCTTGTTTCAGCCTCCCTGAGTAGCTAGGACTACAGACATACACCACTAGGCCTGGATAGTCTTTCTTTTTTCTTTTTCTTTCTTTTTTTTTTTCACTCTTGTTCAGGCTGATCTTGAACTCCCCTCCTGAGCTCAAGCAATCTGCCCACCTAGACCTCCCGGAGTGTTAGGATTACAGGCATTGGATGTGAGGATTACCCACACGCCCCCGCCCACCCCCTCCGCCCCCCCCCCCACGCTGGGTTTGCACTTCAGTAGCTTTAGAATAAACAGTCATCTAGTGCCTATTCTCAGCAAGTGAGCCTGGCTTTGCCTTTTTCTTTTTAGATAGAGTCTCCATTTGTTGCCCAAGCTACCAGGCTAGAGTGCAGTGGCATCATTGCAGCTCACAGCACCTCACACTCCTGGACTCAAGTGATCCTCCTGCCTCAGCCTCCCAAGTAGCTGAGACTACAGGCCCTGGTTACCACGCCTGGCTAATTTTTCTAATTTTTTTTGTAGAGACTTGGGGTCTCGCTCTTGCTCAGGCTGGTCTAGAACATGCTGGTCTTAAGGGATTCTCCCACCTTGGCCTCCATAGTACGAGGATTGTAGGCATGAGCCACTGTGCCCAGCCCTGGCTCTGCATTTGAAAATGGCAGAGTTGGTTCTGTGAACACACCAGATAGAACAAATCCATGGCTTACTTCATCCACATAAGTGTATAGTCGTAAATATGAGCAATTAGTGATCTGGGTATATCAATAAAGTTGTCTTAATTGACTCAGGAAATCTTACTTTCCTAGGGCAACCCTATTTCTCATCTTTGCCATGTTTTTAATAGAATATGAAGCTTATTTCCTCATATGTCCCCAGCAGGTTGGTTTAACTCCCGTAGAGCTAGTAAGTGGCTAAGAAAAAGGGAGAAAGGAAGGCATTGCTTATTCAAGGTCATGAACATAGGAAAGTCACATGCCTCAGTGGACAGGGAGAGGATCAAAGGGCCGCAGCTATTCTAAAATCATAGGTATCATTTTAGGTATATGTATGAAAATTACCACCTACCTGGCCTGCTGCTAAGTGTGAAATGAGCTGGAGGGACAAGAGCCTGCCTCCTTAAGAGAAATCTAGTCAGCCAGACACCAGATCACAAGAGATAGAAACACGAGCTAATGGGGCTTTATCTCCCCATATCTTACAATTTAAACTTCAATAGCAGAATGAACAGATTGTAATATAGTATCTCCGACATCACTGCAAAAGATAAGACGTGATAAACAGCAGAGTACCCTGCCCTGCCTTTAATCACATTCCCCCTTGTTGCTACTGCCAGGCATTTAAGTAGGTTAATGGGACACATTTAAAAAGAAATTATCGTGGAAGCAGGGGGCAATCTCCTCTTAGATTATTGAAGCAGAGGGAGGTAGGTAACTGTATAAACAACCAGTCCTAAAGAACGAGCACTGTCTCGGAGGAGATAAAGATAGTTGGATAAAAAATCCACAAGGTGTTTCTTATTATGAGAAAGTGAAAATCATAATGGAAAGATTATGTCTGTGGTGTCTACTTCAGTTACATCTGGGGAAATGCTTTTCTACTGAAATACGGCCTCATGCTTTGGGTTCAGTTGCACACCAAGGCTCACCTAGTTGTCCCTGGGAGAAGCCTTGTCCCCAGGGTGGCAGGGGTGACAAGTGAGGAGCAGGGGCCAGCATCCCAGAGCTCGGTGCTTTGGGGGTTTACCGGCCACAGGAGTTAGGAGTGGGTTGTACGGATCGCACGGCTCTGCTGCCCCTGAGTCAGAAAAGCCAAGACGAGGGTGATGTCAAGGGCCTTCGGGGTATGGGTATTTCATCTTTGGGGTGTTTGTGTTTCATCAGCCATCAGATGATCAGAAAAAGTTACTCACTGGTGAGTGGTCCAGAATCCTTGACGGGTACCCGGCCCTTGTGTTTTCACTACGGGTTAGGGCCCTTAGGTGGAGAAAGTCCAGGGAAGAAACATGATTTGTCTTTTTATTTTATTTCATTTCATTCATTTCATTGTTGGGGAATCATCAAGGAACAGGTTGCACTGCTTGCATTTGTTAGGGAAAGTCTCTCTTATAATTGTGTCCTGCTCCCAAGAGATGTGTCACACACCATGACCCCCCTCCCATCCCATGATTTTTTTTTTAAAAACACCTGGTTTCACATGTTGATTTGAGGGGCCTTGCATCACTGGCAGCTTCCCATATTCCCTTGAGCCAGAGCTCCGGGTTGCGACACAGTCTGCTGGACCCTCCCACCTGCTCCTGAGAGGGCATCAGTCAGTCAGCGGGAACAGAGTGAGAGGCAAGAGAAACAGGAACAGAAGGTAAACACAGCCACGTGGGTTCCTGTCATAAACATCTACCTTGGCGCTGTAGGTTTAAAAAGTGGGTTGCTTTAGAAGCATATGCAAATAGGCTGATATTTTCACAGATGTGTGCAGGGTGAGCAAAGGTAATGAGAGCAGGGTGCTTCTAATTGTGTGCTATTCCAAGGATGAAAGGAGGCAAGAAAGACAAGAAAAAAAAAAAGAGGGGCAGGGAGGGAGGGAAGAAGGAAGGGGGCTACTAGCTGACGTTGTCAAGTCTGTGCTCTTCTAATTATTCTCGATGTCTGCACTGAGCTTTGTCCCTGGCTGTCATGTCCACGTTGTATAAAGTGTACACAAGAAAATGCTTCAGGGTGAATTGTAGTGCACCTTTAAAGTGTTTTGTAATAGTCATTCATCATGTATTGATTTTTTAAAAAACATTTTTAAAATTAGTAATTTTAAATGAAATTTATTTTTTTTAGAGTCTCATTCTGTCACCCAGGATAGAATGCCGTGGCATCATAGCTCACAGCAACCTCAAATTCTTGGGCTCAAGCGATCTTCTCGCCTCAGCCTCCCCCTTAGCTGGCACCTGCCATGATGCCTTTCTATTTTTAGTAGAAACAGGGTCTCGTTCTTGCTCAGGCTGGTCTCGAACTCCTGAGCTCAAGCAATCCACTTACCTCAGCCTCCCAGAGTGCTGGGACTACAGGTGTAAGCCACTATTCCCAGCTTTAAAATATTTTTTAAATTATAATTTTTTAAAAATCGTAAAAACGATCTACTGGCACTGGAAATATACAAAGAGGACAAATACGAAAAAAACAGGATAGTCTGAGAGGGATAAATCGGGGTGGGTAGTGCTGATCTGGTGCTGGTTGGGATAGGCAAGGGGGCAGGGGCCGTGTTCTGAGGCCAGGCCAGTAGTAGCCAGAGCTGAACGGCAGGAGGCCAGAGGGAAGAGGACACAGGTGGCAGGAACAGTGTGAGCGCTGAGGCAGGTTCAGAAGCCTGGGCGATTTCCTGAAATAGCTCAGTTCTGTTAATTTCTGACCAGGCATCAAAAAGCCACTCTTTACACTGGAGCTGACGCTCTGCAGAAATAAACTCACGAAATAAACTCAGGTGGAACCCGGGCGTGTCTGGGTGCTGACTTGTGACCTTCACTTTGTAAACTCAGCAGAGTATTTAACTCAGAGGTAATTTCTCAAGTCTTCATTAGTAGCTTCATTGAGCTTTTGGATAAACAGAAAAAAAAAAGCCACATAAAGACATCCCGATGTTTAACTTTGAAAAGATGAGGTGACATTTGTCCCCCACGGTCAACGGCCTGAGAGCTAAATATTTCAGGGATGGAATGGTTTCACTTGAATGTCATGTTTTTGTTCCTGAGCAGATTCTAGTTTCCTGAAGAAAGTAGGAAACTTAAAAAAAAAAAAAAATTCAAAATAAAAAGAAAAGCAATACAACTTCCTTTTAACCATCACCTTTTGCATTTTTCCCCTTTATAGGAAAATAATGCAAAGCAATGAAATCTGCTGACTGATATAGGAAAAAAAAGATATTTAAACTAGCGGTTAAATAATTAAAATAACGTGTCATCCCAAAGTAGGGTAACTTTCTGCAGTTATTTAACTTTTTAAAGTTTAGACAAATCAGACGTCTGAATTTGAATTAAACACGAAAAAGAATCATCGCTGTCTTAGGAGTCAGGTTTAGGAGTCAGGGCCAGTCTAAGTTTCTGACTAGCCAAGTGTTCTAGGATCTTCCAAGTCAATCTGGAGTGTGGTGTATACAGCTTACTTTAAAGCAGTGGTTCTCAAGCTTCCTAATGCCACGGCCCTTTAATACAGTTCCTGTGGGTCGTGACCCACAGGTTGAGAACCACTGCTTTAAAGTAATATGGAGAGGGGACATTCTTGAACATAAGCTTCACTACAGCTTTATATATACGATGATTGAGATTTCACACCTACGGTGCATCTTATAAGGGTACATGGGAAACTTACTAATGTAGAATATCAATGTCTTAACACAATAACTAAGAAAATGCCATGAAGGCTCTGTTAACCGGTTTGATGAAAATATTTCAAATCGCATATAAAACCAGCACAATGTACCCCATGACTTCATTAATGTACACAGCGATGATTTAATAAAAAAAAAAGAAAGAAAGAAAGAAAAATAGGGATGCCAAGAAAAAAAAATAGATTTCAGATGGGCTTGGTTCTACCATGTGGGATGGTGTGCCATGCTTTGAAATGTGTGTCAGTTCCTTTCCTTTTGATGTACATGTAGGGTAGAGTTTATTTGGGTGTCCCACTCAGTACGCATAGCAACTCTCTCAGACATTTCCTTGGCCTCTGTGGGAATGTACCCGTAGGGGAAGATGGTGGGCTTCACAATCCGTGCCTTTCCGGCCTGTCATCTGCCCCTGTTGTCCTAGGTTCATTTTCTTCCTTCAAGCCAGCAGCACCTTCTATCTTCAAGGCCCCTGGAGCTGTATGTCTGGCAGTGCTGGGCCAACAGGGCTCAGTGTTAGAACAGTGTGGTGTTTTTCCACCATTTTTTAGCTCACAGCACTCTTGAACCTGTAATTAAACTTCCATGGCCCACTTAAATTATATCGATCCAGAAAAAAAAGTTAAGAAAAGAATATACTTACTGTGCTTTGAACATCTTTTGAAAATAATTTAATTAATGGTCTTTAAAGATTTTGGCAGCGCACCTATGATCATCTCATGGGACACCAGTGTGCCGCGGCACACTGGCTGAAAATCAGTGTATTAGAGCAAGAGCTAGATTCGAAACTTCTCTCCTCTCCTCACCAAATTAAGTGTCTTGGGGGCAAATCGTGTAACAATTTCCCACTCTGCAAACGGAAGTTGATACTATCCAGCGGCTGATTCCTGTGTGGGGCTCTCGCCCGCCTTCCAGTTAAGTGAGTCCTGGAAAGCTGGAAACCAGTCATGGGGGGAGTATTTACACCACCAGTCAGTATCATTAATGCAAAGCTTGCTGGGGGGGGTAGGCGGAAGCAGAGGGGGCCAGACCAAGACGGCAGAGCCAGTTGTACAGTTGTAAAACATTTATCAGCTCCCCACTGAGAATTTCAGACCTCACAGGGTTTTGGGGGGATAATTAAGATAATCCCTGGGGTATACTTAGTAGAGGGGAAAAGTATACAGTAGACACTCAATTCCTTCATTATTCTTCCCTTTTCTTTCCTCTTTTATTCCAAGGCAAGTTTCCCCTCTGATCTTTGGATCCTGCTTTGATTCATTGGGTGTTTGAAAGCGTTTGTTACTTCCGTAGACTTTTACCACTGGAGGATAACTTATGGATCGGCCAGACAAGGGGCTGATTATCTGAGGAAGAGACTGTAGCACAGAGAGGTTGTGTGACTCACCCAAGATGACACAGCTGTTTCTGGGTCAGGAGGAGGTGGTCAGTCTGAAACAAGATCTACAAAACTCCCCTATATACTCTAGTTTCTCTTCAGATCTTATAAATCTTTCGCCTTTTACAAAACTCCCCTGTAGTCACTTCTCCACCCACACACCACGACACTTGTCGATGCTGCTACACTTATATTTTTGTACCCCTCCCAAAAGATCCACAATATTAATATCAATGTAAATAAATGAAAAAGTTGCCAATTCACTCTTCACTATGAAACTTTTTCCCTGTGACCCACGTGCACGTATTTAAGGATGCGTAACAACGGCATAACTTTTATGTTTTGAATTTTTCACTTGATATACATCTTGATTTAAAGCGACTTTTTCTTTAGCTTTCAGAAAGAATTCTCACTTGAAGATAAAGAGCAATTTGCTAACCACAGAAGAGGGTTCGATACTAAGCTTTTAACTGCACTTCCTAAAGGTGAGTCTTTTTCTAAATGGTTACCTGGTCTCTGGGCAGTTGAGCCTCACGTGGTCTGAATTTCCTCGAGGAGAACTTTCTCACTAATCTCCAACTCGCAGGCTCTTTTGTGCCCCTTCCTGTGTCTCATCCAAGAATTAGCTTCAAATAATGGACCTGTCTTCTTGCGCTTTTTATTATTTTATTTTATTTTATTTTAGACAAGAGTCCTCAAACTACAGCCCACGGGCCACATGCAGCCCGCCTAGGACATTTATCCGGCCCACCGGGTGGTTTTGCCACCGCTGCCTGTCCTGCTTAGCAGCCGACTTGTCCCAGGGCCCGCAGTCTGGCCCTCCAATGGTCTGAGTGACAGTGAACTGGCCTTCTGTTTAAAAAGTTTGAGGACCCCTGTTTTAGACACTGGGTCTTGCTCTGTTGCCCAGTGCATGGGTGCAATCACTGTTCACTGTAACCTTGAACTCTGGGCTCAAGTCATCCTCCCGCCTCAGTCTCCCAGGTAGCTGGGACTGCAGGCATGCACCACGCCCAGTTGATTTTTGTTTATTTTTTGTAGAATGAAGATCTTGCTATGTTGCCCAGGCTGGCTTGAACTCCTAGCTTCAAGCAATCCTCCTGCCTTGGCCTCCCAAAGTGCTGGGATTACAGGTGTGAGCCACGGTGCCTGGCTCTTCTTAAACTTTTAGCACCTTAACTGCCATGTAAGTTGTATTTAACTTACACTAGTTTTGAACCTGGGGCCTCATGAAGCATATATAACTCACATGTCTTTTGACCTAGAACACTACGGCCCCAAGGAAACTTTTTTTCTTGCACGGCAGTCTCTGTGTTACTTTTCACCTTTCTACTTTTTTAAATTTTCCCTTAATTTCCCTACCTGGAAAGAAAGTGGACTCAGAATTTTGCTGGAGGTGGCAGAGAGGAAGCCTAATGTCCTCTCTCTGTTGCCTTTAACCTTCTCCAAGGGCAGTGAGATCTGCCCACGCCCCCATTTATTTTCCATCCAACCCCTCCCGCTGCCTCCAGAGACCCCTCTTGCCTCCGGCAGCTTCCCGGTGATAGGGCTTTTCCACTGAATATTTTGTAGTTCCCGACTGGGCTGCAAACAGCCGGTACAGACTATATCCCGATCACATTCCTCCTTCCCCCAGCAGGCACCCACACGTGTTTTGTGAACGGCTATTTTCACTGGTAGGTGCATTTCCAGGAAGAAATTTGCACCACCTAGGAGCCGACTCCGTCTAGTTTTGCCTGTGCAAGGGGGGAAGCGTTGATCTTTGTTTTTAGCACCTGTGACGCTAGCAAAGCTCATTTGGTACCCAGCTCACAAAATGTCCTCATCCCAGATGTGGTACGTAACCCTTCCTTTAAAAGAAAACGGGTTTGACGGAAGGGTAGGTTCTTTTCCTCCTCTGAAAGAAAGAAGGAAAACACAAGTTCAAGCCCCAAAGAAATTAGACCAAAAGATATTCTTTTAATAGAAACGACATCCAAATTTAAAAGCCTGTTGACAACTTGGAAGCTATCCTGAGGAATTGAATGACAGTACGCCTAGGTATAGTCTGATGAGGGTGGACATTCCGAAAGACTCCAGGGATTGGGCCTGGGGAAGAAAACTTGAACAAGGACATGTCGCAATTTTCAAGTACTTATAGCACTGTCAACTGAAATAGAGGCTTATTCTGTGTCACTCCAGAGACCCCAAATAAAAATATCATGTAGAATTATAAGGAGGTAGACAGAATTTCATATGAGAAAGAAAATTCTGATTGTTCGTGCCACCTGGAAATGAAGTGGACCAGATGGTGATCTCCTAAACTCGCCCAGGCGAGTGTTCAAGGGAACGTCTGGTGCCCATGCATCTAAGCGGGATGGATGTGGGAGGGCCGTTCCCACATGCTTAGGTGAGTGGACCAGCTGCAACATGGAATGGTCCTCCCAATGTTTAGGATTCTTTGGGAAAGAGGAAGACACTCGATCTAATCTGCACCAAACTTAAGTGTTTAAAAATCTATGCAAATGATTGAAACAAATTGTGAGAATGAACAACCCATTGATAGTAGCAGTAGCTGAGGAGGATTGATTAATTAGGCCAAGTTCTACAGAGCTAAAGTTATTTCCACTACCCTAAAGAGTCCCTCTTTCCCCTACTTTACCCCCAGTTCTTTCTATTCTTTGTTGTTGTTGTTGTTGATAAGTAATACCATGGAAATAGTACGATCAGAAAAATTAAAAACAGTGTGAGACGGGGCAGCGCCTGTGGCTCAGAGGAGTAGGGCACCGGCCCCATATGCCGGAGGTGGCAGTTTCAAACCCAGCCCCGGCCAAAAACTGCAAAAAAAAAAAAAACCAGTGTGAGATGCTCAAGGTTCCTTAAGATTCAACACATTGTAACTTCATATGTAACAAAATTTTACCCAAGCTTATTCACTGGTTGTATCGGTATTAAAATTTATCATAACTGATTATAAGGATATACGTTTTCCAAATCAAAGATGATTTTCTGTGTCAACCAGACTGGTATTTCTGGATCAACAAAATCCCTTCATTCTTTAAAGCATAAAAGAACCAGTGCCCTGGCTGTCTTGAGTTTTCTCTAAATTCTTCAGTCTCGTTTCACCTGGCTGCTTCTTATGAATTGGGTAGGGGAACTTGGAAAGACCAGTGTATAATACCAGGGGTCTCTTGGTTTCTCCATCTTAAAAGATGAGTTAATGTTTTTATCGGGTCAGGTCTTAACCATATAATGTTAAAAAAAAAATGAATTGATTATAACTGTTTTAATGGCAGCGAGTTTTATGATTGTTTATAAATTTACAAAAGTTTCTTTCTGTTGGTTTAAGGAGGGACTCTTGCAACCAGGAAATTAAGCATTGAACTGGTCATTGCTTTTTCTCTAAGGACTTCTTTCAACTGTGTCTCGCAAACACGTAATCAAGGGATGAAAAGTCTTTACCTGTGTAAAGGTTATAATATGGAAATAGATTTTCCACTTAGGAATTATAAAAGGGATCAAATATATAACTCTACATTCTTTACCAGCTTTATGAAGATGGAACGGACATACCATACAATTCATTCATTTACAGTGTACAATTTGGTGGCTGTTAGCGTATTCACAGGGTTATGCATCTGTCAGCACAGTCAACTTTAGACCATTTTCATTACTCCAAAAAGAAATCCCATGCCCTTTAGCCATGAGTCCTCCCCCTCAGCCCTCTGGTTTGTAATTACGGATTTTATAAGCTGCTGGTCTGCATATTACTGGCTGCCAGCCAAGTGTAGAAGGTAAAGGGCATTACTCCTGCGGGATGTTAAGACCAGTGTTCAGAATAGTGGCCTGTGCTCTTAGGGTGTCAAGCAGAGAAAAAAGAACTGTTCTTGGCAATACCTCTACCAGTTGTATTTCTTTGGAAGATTCTGGGGTGCCCAACAATGTCCTAGCCAGAAATCTTGTTTCTTTTCCTTCTTCTTCTTCTTTTCTTTTACCTTTGGTAGAAACGAGTCTCTCAGTATTGCCCAGGCTGGTCTCAAACTCTTGGCATCAAGCAATCCTCCCATCTCAGCCTCCCAAAGTGCCGGGATTACAGGCGTGACCCACCATACCCTGTGGCATTCCTGTTTCTTAAAGTTAATTGAAGAAACTGTTTACCAAGAAAAACACCCAGCACACCAAATTACCTAAAATATTGCTGTTATATATTCTTTTTTTTTTTT